GGACGGACAGGTGGAGGGATGGACGGACAGGTGAAGGGATGGGGGGACAAAGGATGGTGGGATGGACGGAGAGATTAACAGAAGGACGGAGGGCGGGATGGAGGGAGGGAGGGGGGGAGGGAGGCAGGGAGGGATGAATGGAGGGAGGGACAGAGGGAGGGACAGAGGATGGGGGAGGAGAGATGGACCGGCCAACAGCTGGAGGGATGGACGAATGGATGAGCTGATAGACGGATGGATGGACCGACAGATGCATGGGCGAACGGATGGACCGACAGATGCATGGGCGAACGGATGGACCAACAGATGCATGGGCGAATGGATAGATGGCTGGATGACTTCTGTTCATGAATGGAGGGTCAGATATGTGAGTGGACAAGGCGACAAATAAGGACTGGATGGAGGGGCACAAGGATGGTTGGCTAGATCGAACCAATGGAAAAGACAAATGAATGATAGAGGGATGGTGGATGGGGGGATGTTTGGACGGATGGGGTAATTAATAGACAAATACGGATGGATGGATGAATGGGGCGGACGAACTGATGGACACATGGATGGATCGACGGGTGGATGGATTGATGAACGAATGAATGGATGGGAGAAAATGCTTTAGTAGGTGGAGTGGTGGTTTGTACTCAGTTCTCTGCATTTGTGCCTTATTGTGAATTCTAGGACACAGCCACTGGTGGAGCAGAACAGGGCGGTTCGGGCAAAGGGACTTCACCTGGACGAGACAGTCCAAACGATCAGCCTCTCATTCGCCTCCTTACACAGTTAACTGTCATCCAGCGGGCTTTAACAAACTTACAATTTGAACTCGAGGGTCGTCGGGTAAGGTTTGTTACGCCATTTTTCTTCCTCTCAGTAATCTGGACTCGCTGCAAATATTCTTCATGTTTTTTTCAAACATTCTACAGTCTCTCTCAGCCACCCTTCTTTCTTTAAGTTGTGTGTGTTATGCTTCGAACGGGCTTACCACTGGCCTAGCGGTGGTCCTATGGTGAATGGAACTATTGGAGTGTGATTCGGTCTCCTGCCTCAGTGCAACAATGTATCCGTTCTACACAAAGTTATTACCTGAGTGTCAAGCAGAGGTGCAATAACTCAGCTCAAATCATGCATCAGTCCTGGGCTGTGGGTCGTCATTTTAGTTACAGGGCCGAAATAGGGGTCAAAGGCCACACCCAAGTCATGTAAACTGCCTGAAAGAAGGCCTGCTGCTGTGGGGTACCCGAAGCAAGGCCTAAAACTGGCCTTCAGAGGCCCAACGTGCAAGAGTTGACCATGGAAAGGTCAACAGCCGCTCGGAAATTCAGGCCCACGAGTCAAAGTCAACATGGACCCAGTCCAGGCCGCCGATCAGACACACACCTTTGGCTGTTTGCAGGTATCTGTAGGAATCCAGTCCAAGTGGGAATCTGCAACTGTATGGGATCCAGGCCATTGGCTGCGAGACAATCTGGGCCATCGTATCTGAGAGACCAGAGGCTGGTCAACCGGAGTCAACACTATAAGTTGACCCAGCCCCTGCTGACCGACATTCAGTCTTGCACATGCTTCTTGACGCTGGCTTGACGCTGGCTTGACGCTGGCTGGACGCTAGCTGGATGCGACGACGCAGGACTGCTAATGCTGTGAGCTGGCGCCATTCTCTGTCTTCGACGCCAGGTGGACACTTGATTATGCTGACGTGGCTCTCGCCACATTGATTATGACATTGATGGGATACTGGCGAGGAGGATAAGCATCAGGGCTGTGAGATTGATCAATGTGGAGGAAGCTTACCTGTTTGCGATCGTAGTCGACGTTGCGCACTGCGGTCCGTCTTCATAAGGTGTCTGCGCTGGCAAGCACCATGATGAGATAAGCTTATTGTCAGAGTGTGTCAGAGGGGACTGTCTGCTGATGTGGCGAGAGGAAGATGCCCGAAGAAGAAGTAGGATTGTGAGGGAGATCTATCTGCTATGTTGATGGATACTTTCTCTTCCACCTTCTAAGTCTCATCTCCCTTCCACCTTCCTCTTCTCTGGTGACCAGACGTTGGGTACCTGACTATATGTACGATTTTGGAGACACTGAAACTGCGCTGAGACAATCTGTGTTCCGACAATGACGAGCTTCTCTTCAGATTGGGTTCATTGCAGAGGAGCCAAAATGAAAAATAATGAAGACTCATACTAGGCTACCAGAGTGGCCTGGGGTCTGGTCCCACCTACAGCGTTGAGTTTTCTCAACGCTGAGCTTTGTATCACGTGTGGCATGGTGGGACGGAGCTCTGTCGTTGATGTATTGCGATCTAATGGTACCGAAATACAGGAGAATAACCTATTAGATTTTGTCATTTTGTAGAATATTCCTTTGACGTCAAATCCGTTTTGTAGTATGCTTCGGCCCTTTTGGTTTGGGCGGGAAACCATTTTCCATTGAGAAAACTACCCTACCGAGGGTAGGGTACATTTCTCAACTGCGGTGCCTTTCCTTTTTTTTGGTTTTTTAGACACCGTTGCATCCTGAAACGGAGGAACTCTGACAGCTGTGTTTGGCTGTCTGGCATCAAACTCGTTTCCTTCTTTGGGCAATGAATGCATTTGGCCATCCACGTTGTCCCTGTCCATTTTACAAACGGTGACCTCCTGTCACCTCACCATGGGAGTATCCTTTTTTCACGGAGACATTCACTCCGACTGTCCCAGACATGTTTCATTTCTCCGAGGTACGTTATAAAAAATAAGGAGAAAAGCTGTTTCTAGCGTTTTTAATTTTTTTTTTTCCAGTTTTTTAATTTTTTGTTTCGAATTTATTAATGTTGAAATGGCGTCACACTGTTAAGTTTTCTAAACTCAACAACTGTAGGTGGGACCAGACCCCTGGGATCATTTGCCCAGCCGGCCAAAAAAAAAAAACAACACGATTTTTTATTTAGACTTGGTAAAAAAAATTGGTGTGACCCTGAGGCAAAAAATGTTCAGTTTATGTTTCTGGCACTTTCTGGACAACATAGTTTTTTTAGGCTGGGCTGCCACCTGGCCGGGCGGGCCTGGGGCGTTCCGCCCGGGAAATCCAGGCGGCCCCAAAACCCAGCAGGGGATTTTTTTTTTTTTTTTTTTGAAGCCGGGGTTTTGCTGCGCTTCCCTCTTGAGGACCCCGAGTCTGCAATAAAAAAGTGTACATGGAGGCGGGGGGGCGGGGAG